GTATCAATTTATTTTTTATTTCAATCATCTCTTTCATAGACTGACTCACTTTATCAATGCCTAAGCATTACATAATGGGAACTCATAGCGAGTTTTAGGAACCTCTCCAATTTCCCAAAACTTTTTGAAAAAGGAATCTGAAGGAGATTTACAGGTGCAATGTAATGATTTATTAACATCCTCAGGCTTTGGACTGAGCCCATGACAATCCAACCAAAAATAGTGTGGAGTGCAACTGCTTCATTGTGTTTTCTGAAGATAAGATCTTTTTGAACAATTAGAGGGATATTGAACAAAGGGTCAGCAAGCTTCAAATTTTAAATATGATTCCAAGATTTGATATCTATCGAACAATCAGGCACGGGGGGTTAGAAACCTAAGAAAGGACAATGGCAATCACTGAGATAATAAATTTTGGAACGTTATACGGTCGAATTTGAAGACAAACTCTTTTGGAGTCTATAGGGCTAGAGCTGAGGATGGCAGTCTAAGACGTTTCAAACATTTATGACTGAGAATACTTAATCGACAACCACATTCGAGTAAAACCTTAGCCTTTTGATATGACCCATAGGCATCCCGAATTTCAATGAGAGCTGTCGCTAGATCAGTCGAATTTGAGCGTGATAAAGAGTAGTAAGTATTGGTGGACGTAGAGGCAGATTGATAATCAGATTCCAGGTGTGAAGAGGAAGGTCATTTGAAACTTGATTACTGGAAGCAGAATTATCAGTTAAAGGGGCATTGACTAACGAATGCTGTAGAGGAGATGGTTGTCATTTTTTCGTTTGACAGAATGAGGAAATAATTGACCACATTCCATTCAATGTGAACTTGAAGTGCAATCACTGAAAATACTCATGAAAATCAAACAATTCACACATTACTCATGCGATTTTACAACATTGAATCGTTCGCGAGTGTACATAGACAAAAACAGAGGACATGTGTATATGAGACGATACGCGTTACATAGAGAGCAACTAGTTTTGGTTTGAGTATGAAAAGAAGCACGTCGAGAGGCGGATTTAGGAATGTGAAATGGAGATATATTACGAGGTTTACTGTTTGATTTTCTTTGGCTAAATGAGTTTGATCAGCAACCCTTTCAAGGCTGCCACATTGTTTTGTTACAAGATCTTCTGTGAAAGTGTCTATCAATGTTCAGAGATTGTGAGAAGTGACATTATTCTCATCAAGTCTTTGACAATTTTTCATTTCAATAATATGGGCAGTAGCTAAACCACGTTCATTTTCATATCTTTTCATTAAAGAGTTATAAGCAAGTATATAGTTAGCATTTATTGAGATATTTCTTTTGACAAGAGCCAATAGTGGTCCAGAAAGGAAAGAGATCAGATATTTAAATATTTTTCAAAAATTTATTTTCATTTACCAAACAGTTGAACATACCAATGAAGGTTTTCCATTGTTTGACGTTTCTATGAAATATAAATAATTAAATTTTTGGTGGCTTGATATGAGATTCAATATTTCAATTGATATAGGGTGTAGTAACGAAAAGCTTGTCATGAATGATTTTGTAGAATAATTTCAGCGACTTGTCTCGAATAATATCTACATTGAATCCTCTAAAAGACATTATGAAATGCTTATGTGTTTTTGTTTTCATATCAATTATTTTATTTTAAGTGATCTGAAAAAAACCTGAAATGAAATAATAGTGAGTGAAATAAAATACAAGTAAAAATAGAAAAATTGAACAAAAATAAATAAAAATGAACAAATGAAAAAATAAAATAAAAATAAATAGTTGAGAGATTCAAAGTCACGTTAGTTCACGACGTTTCGATTGTTAGTATCTATAATCGTCTTCGGGTGATAACTGGACTGATTTCTCCGAGAGATGATTATTTATAGGTCGTTAGAGTACTTTCACTTATTCCCGCATTCCATTTTCCGCTTCACTGGTTCCGTGGGAGATGACCGTTTGGCGAGAGTTGGCCATTTTTCGCTTGATGATGGGTTTCCATATGTTGCGTATTTCTACGCTGGCCTGGCTGAATACGTTGTTGGACAACATGTATGCGGCTTCCTTGAATTTTCTCCTAAACCAATGTTCCTCTCTGTGCAAGATCTCAGCTTGGGATCACTCGATGTTGTGTTGATGGGTCCAAACATGGTCTGCTATTCCTCATTTGCTGGTTTCCCCTTGCTGTGTGTGTTTCTTGTGCTCGGCAATGCGAACATTCAATGGCCTCTTAGTTTCACCAATATAGGATTTTCTGCACTCACAGGGTATCTGGTAAATGCAATTCTTGGAATCGCAGTCTGCGTTTGGTGGCCTGGTTTTCGTGAGGCTGCTACGGATAGTGTTACCGGATCTGAAGCAGGTTCTGATGTTTTACTTGAAACCAATTCTTCTTATCCTCTCCGATAATCTTCTGATGTAGGAAAGTGCAAGCACTGGTTGTGACGGCTTCTCTTCCTTGCGAGGCTTCACTCACTATTATTTCATTTCAGGTTTTTTTGCTTAATATAATTGTTATTTTCAACTATTCATTTTTAATTCTTCTTTTTTAGTTGTTTCAGAGATTTCAAATCATTTTATATAGTAGACAATGGAAGTCCGAACTAGTGAAATTCATCATGAAACATTGTCAATCACCTTCAAACAAACGTCAAACTTGTGCTTCTAGCGAATCTGCGTATTCTACAATAAAAATGTGTTTAAAACGCTTTAGGTTTTTCATTACAATACAGCGTGTTTCATTTTGAAGATAAAAAAATTAATCATAAGTAAAATATAAAAACGCCTTTTGTGTATAAAGTAGAAGAGGTAGGTATAGGGAATCCTGATAGTTAGGTTTAGATAGATAGTTTTAAAGGGAATCTACTCCTGCGTCAAATTACGCCACAAAATATAGGGTGTTCCATTCAACTTTGAGAAATTATTGAATTCAATGTGTGTCCAAATTTTGAGGCAATTTTTTTCGCCACTTGGAATAATATTGCATTAACAATTTCATGTAGTAGTCAACTTTAACCTTTGAGCTAAGCAGTACATTTAATCACGAGCAGCTCGTTACACGTTACAGGGTGAAAACAATTTTTAAATTATGGTCTGTATTTTTAAATTTCTCGAAACTTATCAGAAACGGTCAATTTTAAGTATGGGAAATATAATAGTAACTCCCTTTTATTTTATCTATAGTATCTAAAAATATAAAAAAATATAGGGTGTTCCTTAGCTGGAAGTTTTTCCCTAACTGTCTTCATTTCTCGTAGAAATACCGAGGCGAATGTGGTGGGCCACCCTCTATACAGGGTCCTGCAACAGTGGCGCGGTGTTCCATATCTCTATATAGGAAGCAGATAGGAATCTAATTTTCTATAATATTACCTTATTGCTCGAGCTCGACAAAATAAAAATATTGGCGGTCACAGAGGGTGTTCGATTTTTTCTGGGCGGATCCCAACTGTGTCTTTTTAAATGGCAACCTATATTTTTTATCGCTTTTTCGGTTTCTTCATAGAAAATAAAATAAACTTTATGTATATCTGCACTTCGAAAATATTGAC